GGTCAGTGTATTCGCGCTCTAACCACTTGGGCCACTCAGCTGTAAGACCCTCTTAGTGACTAGCTGCCATGTCACCCGAAGGAAGTACGAGGAATGGGATACTGTCAGGTTATCTAAGTCTAGCGAATCGAGATACCGAGGCTGAGTCCGAACGACAGATCGTCTTGTCAGTAATTTCGCATCCTAACCACTGCGGTATCTCAAGCTCCGTGGCTCCAACCCACTTCTGGTTTTCGAATTAGATTTCGGAAGCCTGGTAGTTCTGAATAGGTTCTTCATTTTCTTGTCTGTACTCCAGTCGCATCACGTAACAACCCAGATCCCGTTGTATACATCAATATCGTGCTTATTTCAATCTCTCTTGCAGAACCCTATTTCCGGTGATATTTCAGCATACTTGAAATGCAGGTGTGAATGCAGAACTTTGTCAAAATGAAATGCATGGACGACCGAATGCAACCCATGAATTCCTCCAGCGGTTCATATTGACCAGACAGTGGTGGCGTTTCTCTCTATTGCACATATCTATCTGGACTGAAGTATGTTTCTTATCCGTCGCATCTTCCAGTAAGTAATTTGCTGTGTTTCTAAAAAATTGTATACCTCAGTGTAGAGCATGAAACTTTGTTTTGCACCAAGGGAGATCTCTTCCCATCATATTCCTGTGAAACTCTCTGTCCCCGGGGATGCCGATTCCCGGCTCCACAGATAATTCAGGATTTTGGTTTACCGTGACGATTTACCACCTTCACCAGGGCATCCACTAAATTGATCAGTAAGCTCATGAAACATGAGTCTTTTAAGGATATCATCGGAGTGGAGTGCGAACCGACGCGTCGACGTCTTTTTAACCACTGTAATCCACTTGACAGGTATTTTTCCTAATTTCACATTAGGCTGAATCTTCAGTCATTTGGCGCCATTCGGTGGTCATAGACGGTTCAGACGCGACTGGTTTTACTAGACGATGTCACGGATGACAATGGAGCCAACATACTGGTGGACAACCTTCCTAGGCGAGATTAGTCGCATGTGCACTTGTTTGCCGTTGTACGTTTAAGGTCCTAGGACGTTGGTCCTCTTGAGGTATGCAAAGTTTGTGTTGAAATATGTGTTGTTGAAGTCGCATTCTCGGAATAACCCGAACCAAAGACTAAAGTCCATATTTAATTACACTCATTTTGAGGGCCTAGTCAATTAGTTGAGTATGCTAAATTTTGAGGGTTCGTGTCCAATTTGGACAAAGCCACTTCACCTTCCCAAGAGGAATTTCTGGGTGAGTTGGGATTCCGGTTATTCTTCGGATAGTGAGGTGAAAGCTCGGAAGAAACCATAAGTGCTATTACAACACGGTTTTCACCTGATTGAGAATCCAAGAATTTTGCCAAAGGACAACAATCAAACTTACGGTGACTCTTTGAGAAGTAGTATGCTAATTTCACAGTGGGAAACGATCTCACTTGTAAATAATTTCTGCAAGCTTTTGCAATTTTCAAACAATGCCCCAAAACACTAAATCGGCCACGAATGTACCCAAAAAGGAGCTTTCATCAGAATTGGCCTCCTATTATCGGTACTTTCTCTTCGGGAGCAAAACGAGACAGGTAGCTAACCCTGTAATAGTTGAAATGTGGATAAAAATGGTAAAGGGTGATCCACTAAATAGGCCTACTGTTTAACCATTTTTTACTACTACCTTCACACGCCCATTACGTTCGAAGGGATGAATCAACTCCTTAGACGTCTAGCAGTTTTGTTGCTCGTTAGTAGCCAGATAGTTGAATGCAGGATTTTGGGATAATCATCGAGCATTCGACGGGTTTAAAGTTTTTCAAGTGATTACAAAGCAGAAGTTCTAGGATTGTCGGTGATTGCCCAGGATTGACTACATCTACCTTATCATCTTCAAACATCATCGTCGCTAGCATCAATACACCAGTAATGCATTTCATCGCCAACTTTCGTGCAATCACGAGGAAAGCATGTGAGTTTAATGCGGTGTTTTGTGTTCCTAGACAAAACGACCAAGAATGGGGCGCCCACACTTGTAAGCAGCACTACACTAAGCACACGTGAGCATCTTGCAGGCAGCTAACTCTCATTTCCAGCAAGACACCGCTGATCAGACGTCCGAAGACAGTTCACATGCTTGGATTGCGGGTGGGCAAGTTTCGTAACGGGAAAGTAAGACCACTCTTGTCATATATACAGGGCCCTTTAGCTTACGTTACAGATCATTCAAGTTGACGAAGGCGATTATCCGCGCGTCGACTCTATTCGTTCTAGCATAACAACGGGTTATGTCCCTGCTGAGATATGCAAACCGATATCCTGTTTATAGTAATTTGTGCGGACAAAGGATCATCAAACAGTAAAACGGTATCATCTGCATGATATCTCTTCTGACAATACGTAGCCTTCTGATTTCTTGGAGTTTGCACTTCATGATGACGTGAATCACAGAATTGAACAACAAACTGGACAGAGAATAACCCTGCATCTTCAAACACAATATGTATTTCATTAAAAAGTATTGTTTCAATGTGGCCTGTTACTATCCTGTGTTGCTGGCTGAAGTATGTTGCGAGAGTTACACTTTACACAGCTCTTTTGCATGTGCCTTTATTTTAGTTATAGAAAAATGTTATATCAGTTTGCGTTCATTTTACTTTTAGTTTGCTCAGGAGTCACTCTCCAATGGCCAAGTCCGCAGACCCTTCTGCCGTTTCGGCACTGTACGTCCATCGATGGGTCGTTACGTGTCATTTATCTGACGGATGCATGTTGCAGAGAAGCAAACTGCTCGCTACCAAATCTTGTTGAAATTGTGGGCGCACTCGTTATCGAGCACTCTACATGTAAGGCGGACTTATCCCGGTTTTTGCCACAACTAACTGTTATTCGTGGATGGTTTCCCATGAGCCAACAGGTGCTGTCTTATTGGGAAGAATATCCACTGGTGATTAGAAATACAGCATTGGCTTCTATCGGCCTTCATCAGCTCCGTCATCTGGGAAAACTACGAATCGCATTGTGGGACAATCCATCTTTGTGTTATGTGAACTCAGTTCACTGGGCTTCGCTCACACTCCATTCTTCAGAGGTGGAATCGGACAAATCTCCAATCAATTCGCCACATTCGATTTCGTGGTTAGGCTTGAAACCGTTCTGTCTTGACGTATGCCCCAATAAATGCTATGCTAAAGAAACGCAGCCGTCCGGATGCTGGTCGGATAACGTATGCCAAATAGGTGGGTAGCTTCTTTTTCCTCAGTGTTTACCTTTCACTGTTTTTCATTTGGTATGGTTGACATCATCAAATCACTTGGATACTATTCACTACTGTACGTTGTTTGGCTAACTTCCGCGGGATAATTTTCCAATCCTGGCGGAGATATCTTTCACTTACGGAATCTCTTGTCTGTTTCCCGAACTGCTCAGCCACCCGAAATCTTTGGTCTTCATTGGATCTCTTAAGTTTTGACATACTGAGGCGGGTCATATGACCTTTCTGGAGCGGTTTTAGTGTTGAATAGGGACCCATTTTACTACTACTCACCTTATGAGATTCTATCTAAATTCCTATCAGTTCCACGTCCTATATCTAAGTGTCAGATCCTGCTTGGTGCTCGATATCAGAATAAGAGACCTACTCGTTGGGTTTTTGGCCAACTGAACGACGGACTGGAACGAATGGCACATTAATTCGCTTTTATCTCATTCGAATGTTTACGGCAGAGATGTGAACCTTTGTCTATATTCCCCTACATTTAACTCAGGCTTTATTATTACTCACTATCTGACCTAAAAGGCATCGACACAGAATTGAGACGTTTTCATCATGAGTTGCACTGTTTTAGACCACTGTCATCATCACTGTGCTTGGTTAAGTCATAGTAAGTGGAAATCAACTGGGATGCTACATCGATACCGTATATATGGCGTTGATGGGGGCGAGATGGCTCAGTGGTTAGAGCGCGAATATACTGACCAGAAGGTCCGTGGTTCGAACTCGACCTTCACCCCTCGACTTCTACTGTCTGGGTTTGGGTGACCTGGCATCATCCCAGTCCTCTTGCTTCCTTCGGGTGGCCCGGCGGCTAGGCACTGAAAGGTGTTACAGCTGAATGATTTAACACCGTGTACGTGAGGCTGGTTTATTTTCATCTATTTTTGTATAGCAGTTTACTGTGCTCCATTTCTGTCCAGTCCATTGGAGTTGAATATCTGTTTGTCGCAGGATGTTCCGTAAAATGTACGAATACAAACTTGGCCTGCTTCTCAGCCAATCCCGGTCTATGCTGCGATCCAGAATGTCTTGGTGCTTGCACTGGACCTGGGCCTGATGACTGCGTTGCGTGCAAGCATGTATTTCATAACGGCCGTTGCCTACATGCCTGTCCTGGTGAATATTTAGAGGTGAGAGTCCGTTGGTGTTCAACTAACGTATCAGTTTTATCTGGTTACCACCGCTATTTGTCTTTGAAGCACATACCAGTGAGCGCTGACAGTTCCGGTAGTTTCACTCACTCAATTTTAGAATGGTCCTGGTTATCTGCTTGACGCCCTTCCACAGGGAACGCTTTTAGAAGATGCAAAATTGGTGCTCGACTTTGAGTGGGTTGGTCAATTCAACCATTTTCATTATTTTCTGCAATCGGCCGGATACAGCTTGGTTGCACAGAGTTCGTTTTCGGTTTCCGTGAAAATACTCTGATCAGTATGTAGCGGAACTCTACCTGGGTCGTCTTCTCAGGTGTATGTAACCCTAAGGCATGCTTATCCTTCGGCGTGGTGAGTCCGCATTACGGTGACTAACTACTGCATTCTGCGTCATTATGGATGAACAATCTTTGTGCTAACTACCTGACCTAACCGTGAGGCCCCTGGATACAAATAGTAGTGGGTGGGAAATTTACTACCAACAACTCATCAGGTCGAAGTGGCAATGAAGATATTCAAACAAACAGACAATTGATGAGTGGTTAGGTTGTTGATGTAGCTAACCTTTGATCCAAGCTTAAAATTAAAACTTGGTCGGATCCTCGGGAGTTCGGCTACATGGGGCTTCATGTTTAGACTCTTCGAACCATCTTGAGAGGACAGGACACCTGACGTGTTTACCCGTAGTTTCGAGCTTTTGACCTCAGAATCCCACTATGGCTAGTCTTTATTAGAGTACTGTTAATTCTGTTGTAGAATACACTGTACCCACTGACAATTGATGCTTTGCGACAGAGTTATGGGCTAAGGATGGTAATCTTTTTTATAGGGTTGTACACTCATTCCGAACTTCGGGGGAACCAAAAATAGTCTCGTCTCACCTCGTTTATCACGTGTTGCAATAAGCAAATTAACTTTGGCCACATCATACATCAGTTGGTAATTATGTTACCGATTATTACCTTTATGTAATTTCACTGTCCTCGATCGAGCTTCGGTGTTCTACATCACTTCTGCGTAAAAGGTAAGGCTGAGTACTGATGACCTTATCGGACCCCCATGATTCGCCTCATTATGTCTCTCTGTTGTTACTAACTACCGACTATAAGGATAGCCTCGGGAGTTAAGTATGAGTAAATATGGGATCGTTGTAAGGATTGACGGATGTGTGAGCCGGTCAACGCGTGGTGTGAATCGATTGAAGAATGTGGGGCGCTATACTAGTTCCATGGTTTATTTTTGAAGAGCATAATCTCAAATATAAAAATTAAATGCAAGCGATGGGTGTAGAAAGACTACAGAAGAATATTAGATAAAAAGAGAGCTAATCGGACTGGTGCTGCCGCTCGTGGCATTATGTAAGGTGGTGAATTTCACTGTCCATTGAGATTCGTGTGGTGCACGCTACTGATACTTTCCAGTATGGATTAAACAGACGTACAGTGCTACTGGGCTTTTTGATGAGTAAATTCATGTACACGATAAATTCTCCAATTGAATGTGTAGTAGGTCAACCTGACGACTGCTGCATTCAGTATAAGATGGCAGCCTTTTCATACATTTCTTCGGTAAAATTACTGCCTCGGGATTCTGTGATGGATGGATTACTGTTTAAACGCCCATCATTATGACGATAGTAACTTTGGTTTCTCGAATATATCTTAAAGCACACTGCCCGTTTTATGGAGTATCTCACTTTAACCGTTCTTATTCTTCTTTGTAGGTAAATTATTTCGCATATGACGTTCCAGCCCGTTGTCTTCTGTTTCCACAGATTCATAATCACCGCTGTATTTCACGGTCGGATTGTGTCAACTTCAACGCTACTTCTAAAGCTTCGCCGCTTATGTACTCCATAGAGGGAACCATGTGCGTCCCATCCTGTTCCTTGGGTTACATACGATCCGCGCTGGGTGAATGCATTCCATGTCTTCGGGGCGAATGTCGTAACAACGGTACAGTCTTGTTTAACCATACGTGTGCTTCTTCTATTCCCGCATTATATTGTCAAGACACACCACTTTAGACAAGGTCTGATCAATTCATGCTTCGCCGCATCTTCCTCTTAGTGATCAGTTTATCTTGTGGTGCTTGGCATTGTGGCCATGCGGACCACGCATGGGCCCCTAACGTGATACTGGCTTCTGCTCGGTCCACCTTTTCCTCAGCTAGTTAACCAGCGCTTCTGCTGTTTGTGCTACTGAAAATTCACTAGTAGTGCGAAATTGCTGACCATTGTGGTGCACCTACTGGCAGTTCCGCACACGGTTCGCAATTTGTATTCAAAATTACATCAGTTGTTTGCATCCCGTTGTTATTACTATCCGTCCGATAACGAGCCCATTGATAGATGATGACCACTTTTCTTTTTACAGTCAACAATTTCACCGTCCTTCCCCCCTTTACAGAATGTGGTCACGTGGTCATCTACAAAATGTCCGACTTGGATCAGGTTCGTGGTTGTTCATCGGTGACGTCGCTGGTAATCAGTTTGGAGGAATGCTACGGTAAGACTGCCATGACTTCTTCGTACATAAATGTTCTGCAGACACGCAACTGTGAACTGGTCGCCTGGTTGCGCTGTTGTCCTGCAGTAAGTAGTGTAATTAGGAATCATTCTCGGAGGTGATTTTGTGTAGCAGGACGACGTGAAGAAGTACCCGGTCGTTTTGCTTCTTCGAAATAATTTTCCACTACACAGCCTAGCAATATGTGGGAGGTGACCATAAAATGCCAGTGGACAACGCCCACCTAATTAGTCTCAGCAAACTGTATTTCGTACGCTCTCCACAATATCACCTATCACTAGTCTTAATTGGTCATTTTTATACTTTTTTTGGATACGCTGTATGTCCACCCAACCGGGCTTTGAAGCAACCTTTAGACCACGCATCTCGGTAAACGACACCGTACACGAAAGTTTTGCTCTAATATTGATGGTATCTATTCACATCAGATGATTTCATCGTCATGGACTAAAATACGAGGGAGGTGTTGTCGGAGTTGTTCAAGAGATGAAGTAAATTTACGCGTTCACTTTCAACTCGCGCACCCAAACTGACCATTGTTCTGATAGCTAAATGCTGATTTTAGGTGGGACGTGGCAATTCCAAGCTTAATCTTGATCGAAAGATATGACTGTCTTTGGAAATAACAAAGGATCCTTCATATCTAGGGATGAATTATTCTTATAATACATTTCCTGTTGCGCTTTTTGAGGTTTTCTGCTTATTGATGGATGTGCCTTGTGGTAGAAAATTTTCGGTTCGCTGAAACCATTACCCATAATGAAGTTGATGCATATTAGTAAGTTTATTACCACGACGATTACTACAGTGCTGCTCTGATTTTGTGACAGGTTGTAGTGTGACAGATGAGCTCACGAATCACCAAAGCTCGATTCGCGCTTGCAAATTTGAGGGTCTTTTTGGTGTCAAAGCGGTACATCCTTGAGTCTCAAGAAACATGTATATCAGACTAAAGTACGGGCTGTTTTTTTGTATAGCTGTGAAACTTAACCTATTCAAGCAGCGGAGCTGAGACGTTTTCAGGTCTCCGACCATCGTTGTCTCTGGACCACAGCTGGTCTGTGTTGGTGTCGGCGTATCGGTAACGAGGCAGTTAGAAAACGAGTTTTTGGTTGTGCAACGGGTACTTCCGTTGAAGTATGTGTTTAGCACCAGAAGCTGTGTTGGGACGTGTGTTGCGTATGCCTAGCTATCGTTTGCCGAAGAGAGTACTACTTCCCATGCCGAAATCAGAGTGGCTTAAGCGGAGAGGCGGCCAAACCTTGACTCAGCAGAGATCTATCAAGGAAATTACGAAACGCCTGAGTACTGTCGGTGCTACTCGCCTTTCAGGATGAGGACCGCGTGATCCCCACTGGCCTGATTGGAAACACCACAAAAACAGCTGCCAACCGATGCCGGTGGCGTTGTTGTCAGTTTCAATCCAGATTTCCTGAATGAGTGTATGGAGGTGCAGACACTTCGGAATGATTGTAGTAAGCTAGCACTAAGTCACCTCTCCGTCCACCTTTATTCTTTTCTTCTTTATAAGGCTCTCAAATAAATCATGGTTGTACGGCAGTAAAGCATCGCTTTTGCACATTGGTGTCATGCTATCCATGATGATGATGTGCTGCTCTAATGGTCGCGCTTGCCAAAGCAAGCCAATTCACTGTGAATAAGGTCCAGATTATATATATATTTAAATGTTTCCTATGTCTACTGGAATAAATTCCTGGTGTGGCTTATGTGTTACAGTAAACAGATGTAATAAGGTGGTTTTCCTTGCCCTTACACTGTGAGTAGTCTAGTCAGTATTTCTGCGCTTTCAGTTTTCATTTGCAGCTTTTTTCCGCACCAACAGTAAATTAGAACAATTAACCAGACAATATACGACCATGAGAACGAAACGCTAGTGAATTCTATGTGACGACTGATCACATCGAGTTATGTTGCTTGACTTCAAATGTTTAGCATTGCGTATCTTTTCCTTTTTCTGCCACAGTATAATCGCTCTATGAGCTTGTCTACTTGTAAGCAGCAAAGTAGGTGCGGAATTTTATTTCCATGAGGACACAACTTGAAAATCTATCGAGGCGAAGTCAATGAAGGAACCCTTCGTTCAAGTGTAACACTTTTTCGGTGCCTAGCTGCCGTGCCACCTGAATGAGGCACGAGGGCTGGGATAATTCCAGGTTTCTTGGACCTAGACAGGGGTGGTCCAGATGAAGACGTCGGGTTCGGATCAACAAGCTTCCGGTCATTAAATTCGCGCTCTGACCACCGAGCAATCTCCCCAATTAATCCTGTTAGTTTTCGGATGCCGTTGTTCCATATTCCAGACACTTCCGAGGTTGATCTCTACGCTGCCTTCGAGAACTTGCAAGAGATTTTTGGCAGTCTACGCGTCCTTCGTTCTGATTCCCTTTCTTCGCTCAACTTTCTTCGCCATTTGCGTGCTATTCGTGGATTGCCCGTTGGTGAAACGACCAAGGAACCCAGGTTTGTCGCGTCTTCACCATGGCTTTTTCATTCACCTCATGATAGTGAGATCGTTGCATGCTTTAACAATTCTCGATAACTTCTCTTAAGACCGTATCGAAAAAAGCAACACAAAGCTAGGTTTTTCAATTAAGTGATCCTTTGTGCTTGGTACTGTTCAGTCGTGAAAGTATTTCCAATATTTTCTGTAATTAATGTTGCTTCGATTCCCAAAACCGCAAACAGCTTCGCCTCAGCGGATCAATAGATGTTATTCCGTAATGTAGTGTTTTAGTTTGATTGCATCCTGGTTGTTATGCTTTTTCTTTTTATGGATGGAACCTCATTTGCGGCTCATAGACTATAAATCTACAAATTATGAGCTTCTAAGCTCATAAAGTTTATTTTCACTCGCACTTGATGCGATATGCACTCTTTGGTTCATCGTACTTGGTTCACTTTTATTGAATGTTTTGTCCTATGGCTGACCTGTGTCGATCGGAAACTGTTCGCCTGACATTTGTCCCCTAGTGTCATTATGAAAATCTGTCAGCATATGCGATGTCATTTGTCCGGCAATTCATCAGAGAGGGTTGCCTATATATATCATTTTTGATGTCGTTTCTTACTGCGTATTCGTCACAGTGACTACCAATAATTCATAGCTTTGTTTCACTTAACTTTACAAACACTGAAAACGCGTTGTTTTTTCAGAACAGCTGTGGAAATCGTGTGGAATCGCAGGCTTAAGCATCTTTGGAACGTGACAGGATCATTATCATCAGCGAACCGCGTTGTGGTTCCGTTCGGATCACTGATGTTTTCACTCAATCCAAACTTGTGCCCGGAAGCCATTCGAGCTTTTGTGGACACATACATCCAAATGGATCGCCATCTAACGGCGCTTGAACTTGAGCTAATATATAGTTCCAATGGAGAGACGGCAGTATGTAAGTCACTGTTTGTTAGCCTTAACTGTAATCCCTCGTGAAGCTCGCTTTTGCAGTTTGTTCGTGCAAACCTAGAGCATCTTTTGGAGCTCTGGGTTGTCGCACATATCTGCGTTCCTCGTCGTTTGCGAATACCACTCAGTTCTCACTCATAGTCTTTCTAGGAATGGGTCGCGATAATTTGCAGGTTTGTTTGAGGATTCTGGACAACTTATTTCAGGCAGAAAAGCTCAGCATTACTCAATCTTGTTGAAACCAGGATTTTTCACTGTTGCTGCTTCCGCCTCTGAAGCCACTTCTGCTCGCGGCCTGTCAGCAGTATGTAGAGTTCCGCTTGACTAACAACTCGAGTTAAAACGACTGCGTATTGACTGTCAGCGGTTATTAATGGTTGAAATAGCAATGGGAGAGGAACCCATAAAAAGAAATGCAGTAAAGTTGATATTCCAAAGTGGTTGGCTTTGCTTATCCTGTCAACGTTTTGTTTAATTTTCGCCAGATTGACCACTCTCTACAGTTGACCAGTTTTTTTTTCTCAAGTGCCCCTAATTCTTTCACTTTATTGATTGCATTGGATCCCAGTTTTTGATTATCTTGAAGAGGGAAAACGAAAGATACCTAGCTTTTCGAGAAATACACTCATTTGCAAATCAATTTGGTTTCCAGGAGAGACTCAACTGAATCTCTCGTTTATGATGTTGTTGTTGTTTGATTTACAACATTTCTTATGTTCCCAAATCAGGTTCACCTCAAATGATCAGTGTGCACCATATCTCCACTCAACAGCACAAAATGCAACTCATAGTGGATGCACCAACCTGGAGTGATCCTCGTCAAGTCCTACCGATCACACTTCATTACCGCATTGCGTAAGTCCCAATTCACTTTGTCCATTTACGGCTAATCGTCCCTGTTAGGCCGTCGAATAAGAAAATCCTGATATAGCTACATGACAAATATTCGGTTCAACCTACACTTAACCCTCTTTGAACATAACCTAAACCATGGCTGGCTTGATGTTTTTTCTCAATGAGTATTAACGTGCATCACCATGTTTACAAAAGTCACTGAATAGATCTCTTCGAAAATAAGCCCTTCTTCTGCAGTCTGAGACACTGTCTCCCGTCATCCACGATCCAGGTTGCGGTCTCCCAATTTCTTTCATCCTCGTGCTATGGGCCCTTAATATGAATACCTTGGTCTACTCTATCAAGTAATGATTCGTACTCCTAATGCCGACCCTCGCCTGAAAATAGCGAACAAGTGTGTGCTCTGAGTGAATATTCTCAGATGTCAGCATATTCCACAAGGATTTGATTGAAAGGGAATGGTGTGATTTGATTACCACTTTGTACAACAGTTTTAATCTCCTCAAGGAAGTCAGCGAGGTAATATCCCCATAGTATTTTTAGTTCACACCTAAAGTATCCGCTAGTTTTTAGTATGGTCACCAAATGGCCTATTTATAAGTGATTAACAGTAATCTTCCGGCTTCAGACAGACATCTACTGTAAGCACTAGGCTTGGTTGTCAGTCATCCTTTTATCATCTTGCATTACAGCCACTGTGCCAGCAGTCTGCCGTGGAGAGAATCGATCTGTGCAAGCGGGTGAGTCAGATTCCGAGATTCAGCCTTTACCGTAATCCTGATTACAGCTGGAATTGCTCAACTTCATCCATTTGTTGAGTATGGTTTTCTGACTCTTCGTTGTCATGAGTGCGATCTTTGGGATGTTAGTGTGGTTGGTGACCTATAAGAGGTCCACAATAAGCGCATGCTCGACAGTGAGCAACAAAGTGCAGATTTATATAGTGGCTCCCTTTGGATAACCTTTTGCTTTCTCCTCGCTTCTGTAATACACACTATAGTCTTTCAAACGACTTATTCTTGAGCCTCCCTGGGTCAGACTACATATGTTATGCTCTCATGAGGCCTTAACAATAAATGAAATCCTCAGATGACCGAGAGAAGGGCAATTTTCCAGAGGTGATTTATCAAGATGGGAACAATTTTGACTCAAAGTGAAGCATCCTGAAACAGTTCATGGGACAATTATGACCTCCTCTTGTTCTTCACCCAATCTAGATGGTTCATCCGTGAGCCCATATGCACCGCAATAAAGCTACCCATGAACTCCTCAGGTATTGTTTCACCGATTGTATCGGACAATCATACAGGTGGTGGCCAATTCTACTGTCATTTGGATGAACTTAAAGCGGCCAGTTTGTATGAGGCATTTATTGAAATTAGGACAATACTCAACCGTGAAGGTGCTTCAAGTCCGTGGTTTCGTTTCAACACACTTCCAAACAGTAAGTCTGTTTTCCCTATTTTAGAACCCCAGTGGATTAATTTCACTGTGCTCACATATATATCTTTTCGGATAGGATACGTGAAGCCGATGGTTTTGGCGGGTGAGATGCGAAACCCTTAGATTCCTCCCAGGTTTGGATACAGCTATTGCCTCTCTGTGTTTGGGTTTACAAATCGCTCTCAGGCCGCTGTGTTTAGGCACAAAGCCAAACAAAGACACCATATTTGCATTCAATGACCATTTACATTTCACTAAGGCGAATGACCACACTGGTAGGTCATCTTAAGTGAGAAATACTGCAGTTGTAATCTTGGTTTCCTGTGTTTCCTGTTATTATGTGCCTCTAGTTTCTTTAAGGCGCATTTCTTCAGCGCACCACAAACCTAAGAATCGACAGTCTTGCTGCACCACCACAAGGTTGTGAATCGACCATGGTGCTGCTTTTCTACACAAGCTGCTACGGAACTATCAGTGGTTGAGTTATGTGGGCTGTTGGGATGAGCAGCCGTTCCAGAAGTGCAGGTGACACCCAGCACGATTGTCATCTGAACGCCGACAATCTGGTGAAATATTCATTGGATTTGCCAAAGGTTTCGTCCTTAGTGTTTTCTGCAGAAGGGTATTCCTGCTAACCGTTTTCATTTGCGCCACACCCAGTTTGTATCTTCGTACTATAAGTTAGCCTTTTGATATGATGCATTAAACCGAACCACTTGTTATAAACATTTACCTGATTCACATGTCAGCTTGTCTGGTGGGCTTTGCCTGCTATTAGAAGCATAGGTCTGTATATTCATCTGTCACTCGAATGACGGATAGTACCTGACGACCCTTCACTTATTCCGTTTGAGAAAAGTGACCCGAATAATCTTAATTTCACGCTCTCGGTTTTCGATCAGCTGTTACATCGAGGTAAATTTACTCATCTGATACCTAAACAACGGGTAGTAATCAATTTCAAACAATGCAGACCTTATTTACTGCTGGCCAACAACCTATACCCATCTCCACTTCACTCTGATTACAAAAGTTTTGCTGCTACTCTGACGTGATTCTTCTGGAACCACCGGAATCTAGTTCACTTGAGTTTTACCTAAGCTGTCTTGCCATCACAGTTTTGCAAGGTTTATTCTGTGATCCGAACGATGATGGTGTCATCACAGACCCATGAAAATGACATCTATGGCGTATATAACTCGTACTTGTCTCGGGGTTTTTAATCGCGTTTCTGTGTTATCCTCCTCTTTCAGCTCCTTCCGTTCCTCTACTTCTGTCGGCTTATCCTACTGGACCGTACACGGTTCGTTTGAGCTGGTCTCCACCTGTTGATCCAAACGGAGTTATTATTGCTTATCAGCTATGGTACCGTGCAATGCCGGTTGAAATCAGTACAGAACTACAACGTCGAGCGCAAACTTGCACCAGTGGTAAGGGGGTTTATCTTTTGTTCCCGGTTTTACTCAGTAGCTTTATCGTACTGGTTCAGCTCTCTGGTATGCCATTTCTGGTCGCTCTCTAAGTTTGTCATTTTCAATGTCTATTTCTTTCATTGTATCCTTTCATCTTTGAGAATCAACTGCTTGCTCAATCACTTGGTTTGAATGTCCCTCATGTGTTTTCCCCCAGAACGGGGCACGGTGTTGTTATCAGGTCACCTCATCAGGGATGGATTATTTTTGTTGTCTTTACCAGGACAATCGCGCTTTTAGTCAAGCTAATCATCAGTCCACACAGCTCTGAGCTCTTTGCAAAATACACTCATTTGCGAAAACTATTAACAGGAAACTCAACTGAACCCTAACTGAATCTCTCTTTGTTCTTCATGGTGTTGACAGAAACCCTGGGATGAAACCGGTCGTGAACTGTCGAAGTTTTCAGCAACTCTAGATAATTTGTTTGTCAATAAACCTCAGAACATTATTTCGTTATGAATGAGATCAAAGTTTATAGCTCACTTTATAAGTCCCTTGGAAAGGTAACAATTCGGTTCGATGATTGTGACTGTTAGGTTTGATTTTGTCGAGTGCGCTCCGACGGGTCTCGAACCCAATTTTACTGCTGATTCTCCGCTGTTCCTAGCCTCGCCGATGACCCATCAGGTTGGCTTCTTTATTTTTTCTTATCCGAATGAGTAATTAACCAGCCAGGACAGTTTACCTGTTGTCTACTCAGGCCTGACGTAGCAGCGGGTATGGGACAACCAGATATTCCTGGCAGATTGGCTCGATCTTGTGTAATAGTCGGACAGTGTGGCTATGGAGCTAAGCGTAGTTTTGCCTACAATACCATAACCGTAACTTTTAGAGGCCGACAGACCGTTTGATTGGAATATCGCTCTATGTCTCGGAATGGTGTTGCAAGCTTCGTCACAGACCGTACGTCAGTAATCTCATTTGTTCTTAGTGGCTATTTTGTTTGCCACAGTACGTTCGACTTCGGTTTAAAATTATATATGCAGGTGCTCAAACTGGTCACCACTTTCGGACAACTTATCAGGTACATTTATGCAGGGTTATCTACACATAGAAAACCTTGTCACGACATCCACAGAAACCGATTGGTAGTAATTTTGTTGGCCATCGGTCCCTTGAACTAGGATTCGAACGGCAGTCGATATACGGGAGTTCGATTATGCATTTTTAGCTAACTGTTTCCCGTATTTAGCCGAGGATTTCATGTATTTCTGTGCCAATCTTATTGACTCCATCCCGTGAAGAGAACTGCCGCATGTTTGTACTGCTAGGTCCCATTCGTTCTCCAAATTCGCCGAATTGATGCATGCTCGAGACAATGAGTTACTCGCGTGCAGTAATTTCCATCTAGTTCGTTCATTGTTTGTCCTTTTTCAGAAGCGATGCAAAGGCCTGCAGAAGATAACCAGCATGTATCTACGGAACGCGAATATACTGCACACATGGACGCTAGAAGTGTGCCTCAATTGAGTTGTACTTCGTGTGTCTATATGTGTCGTACAGCTAATTCTCAATCAGAAGAATCCACACCAATAGAACGTAAAAGTCCCTCTGCACAGCTAGAGCGGATTCTTTTTGAAGACCGTCTACAAAATTTCCTCCTCTCGCCTAGAAGGTAAGCTTGGAACTTGTTGTACGGGGTTTGTCTTTATTTTGTTCCTCTGTGTGAATTTGTTACAGTGGGGCGGTTAAAATAAATATGTTGTAACAGAGGTGTGGAATTCTATTCATAAGCCAAATCGCTTGAGCCTCGGTAGTGTTTTATATGCCTGCGAATCTCAGTCCTTGTCTCACCCCCAGCCTTAAGTAATACGCCTTTTTTCGGTTAGCATTTTTGTGTGTACCTTTGAGTGGAACACGGTCCCTAAACCATTCTGTACAGGACTTTTCTGTCAGATCACTAGCCATATCAGGATGCATCGGAATAAGCGATGCAACCCTCGTTTTATTACTGAGTTGAACAGTACCTCCATGCTCACTTCGAAATATACTTTACCAACAGTCTAGTTCGGATGATTTGAATAGCTTCTTGACATCAGCTGTGATGCGGACTCACACGCAGGTTTCACCTAATAGATGCAGAACGAGCTGTGCTATATGGCCGGTTGGTTTCAGGTACATGTATGTATCGCTTTGGCGTAGATTTCCCGCATCTATCTCCAATCCGCTCGTACTCGCTGCCATTCCTACGCATCTTCATTCAACCCTACCTTAGCCGTCTTTTATTCGTTGTTACCATTACATAGCTGTTTTTTCGAAACCCATTTCCACTGTAGTCATGGTTCGATCCACTCCCGACGTCATCGCGATACATCGAACGTGGAACAAACCGATGGTAAGACTCTGTCAACTTCGATTACCAATGTTTGTCTTCTTTTCGTGAAGCGGATGTGAACTCATTGTGTGCGTGTTTTGTACGTAATTAATCCGAAGCACCGCCAACTCACAAACGGATATTATTACATCAATGTGGGATGCTTGATCAACCCTTGCTTGTTTGTATGTTGCTTCTCTCTGTTTGGTGACCAGTTATGTTCTGCATGGAAGCCGTAGCCATCACCAGGTTTGGAGATGCACTTAAGATGTGCTTCTAAAGAAGGTTCTGTATTTCTGTACTATAGCGGTGAGACATGAAAATGTTCCAAAGGGAAGATCGATATTTCAGTAATATGGGTCAATATGGGCCATCCCAGTCCTCTTCGGCATCGGTCCCAATTTCCGCTTCTTCTTGCGTCAAATGTGGTCCGTCGTACGCAGGCGAACAGAATATGTCAATACATTCCTCTAGATTTTGTAAACACCGTGTTCGACAATGCCATGGCTCGGTTTTCTGCTGTAAATCACAACCAATCACACAATCCACATAGTCCTGATCACACGTCCAGTTGCAGCTACGTTGGATGACGATTCCATGTACACGAAATCTCAAGCACCAAAATGTTAGCAACAACACCAGAAGTAGTAGAGGAACTTGTGTTGGCTGAAATTGAGATAGTAGTAATATACAATCTTTCAGCTGTAACACCCTTTTCGTGTCTAGCTGCCATACCGCCCGAAGGAGGTACGAGGGCCTACGTACTACCACTACATACTACTACGGCAGTGAAGCATCAGTGCCAACACTGATGTTGCTGTCATTGTTGATGATGATGTACTACCAGGTTGCCCAAGCCTAGACCGAAGCAGTTGAGATGCCGGGGTTGAGTTCGAACTGTGGAACTTCTATTCAGTAATTTCGCATCTTAACAGCTGAAGCTAACAGTGAACGGTAGTATAAAACATCTGGAATTTTTCCTCGGTCCCTACGGAGGAAGATCAACATGCACTGCTCGACTAAAAGTGTCCGCTGGCCACTCGCCATCGGGATGCGAGTGAACGTGCCAGCGCACGTACGCACCGTGGCAATATTGCAAGAACGCTGGCCTTTTTCACTTCACTCCTAGTGATTTTTTTGTTAGTATGCGGTAGATGTTATCGGAAAACAACCCCAAAACTTATAGAAGGGTTACTTCAATCATGTGATACGCAGACGGTCTTCACATTCTCAAATGTTGACTTCTATTAGACTGGACTGCAATCTATTTGGGAGCCTTTGGTTTATACTAACAGAGCATACGTGTAGAGCTGCAACTATTTTAAAAAAAGAGTGAGTCAAACGGAAATGGATCCAACTGTGATCTACACGTATGCCAGCCACATACTGAAGTGAGGTTGTTACGAAAAAATGCACCCTGTCCACGAAACGCCATCACGCCACGTCTATTATTCGTTTTATTTGTTTTCGTGCAGATGACTGAATTAATTCTGCGAATTCCGGGATGCTTTTCCATGACATCCACCAATTAGTCGGCGAAACTCCTTCAGTTTTAGCCACTAGGAGCTCTGTTACCCTATCCCCCGTTCAGCTAGAGCTGCTGTTGAAACGAACCGATAAGCATTGGGTCTAGTAAGCTAATACTCGTCACGTGGTCCTACGCATTTTTCAGTGAATGAGTGTCTGCGGAAGCAATATAAAGCCATAAGACATTGGAGAGGCAGCGTTCGGTAAGAGTATGTTGGGGAGGATTCTCATCAATACCACCTTACCGTTCGGATTTAGGCATTACTGTGGCCACTTAGCCCTACTCGCAGGTGATTGGTCGGAAGATCGGGTTGGTCGAAAATGTGATCCCAACGGCCAATCGTGTTTCAGTGTCCAGTGGATGCCAATCCATCTCCGAATTCCCGAAATGTCACATAAAATTGAAATACGATAAGCTGACAGCTTTTTGACCGTTTTTGGCGTTTACTACACGTTATGCACCCTTGGTAATTTTGCGGAAAACGCTTGCCTGGAAGGATCGGACCCATAAGTGAGACGAGGCATAACCGCTAATAAACACAGTCAGTTAGGTTTCTCAAACCCGATGGGTGACAATATTCATGCGCTGATCGAGGCGCTGATCGACGAAGCAGTTGCATATGCTTACTAACCTCATTTCATTCGCAGGCTACTATCAGAATGTGAGCTCTTTCAGATTAGCCTAAGACATGTCGCGCGAGCAAAATCGCTCACTTAAATCACATTGTCTCTTGGGCTGCTCATCCAGGTTGTTTCTTCTTCCAAAATTCACACCCAACATTATGGAAAGGTCAACATCGGCCAAGGAAAACGCGGGACTTCTTTATCTTCACGGTGACATGCATCATCTGCATCCAGCAACTCCCGAAACTACTTTACGCCGCAGTAGGTAGTTGGCTCACTCTATGTATCTAAGGTACACAACACTCCCACTCCATGTACGAACACTTGTATGTTATTCAGCAATTGTTGGGCGTTTTGTCTCTTATTTGCTGATCTGGCACAAATTAACATAAAACTGAAAAAAAACGAGTAAACTAACGACATCATTCCTTCCAATCGGCAGTACCCACACGTTTGGACAAATCCAGTAGCAGCATTGATGCCAATTTACTTCCCATTTGCCAACTCCAGAGTCGACTGTAATCGGATCATCGACCATGTGGAGCGATGTTTAAAAGTAAGACTAATTAATATTGCCTGCAAGATGCAGCAGAAGTTTGAAACAAAACATGCACCGACCAGTTCTCATTGACGATATCAATTAGTTCGACTTTAATGACCGTGATTTGTGTTCGTTGACGAGTGTGGTGGAAGCTCACTTGAACGTGAGATAGCTGCGTGGTTAGAGCGCGAGCTTACTGACCGAACCGAAACTCCTCATCTCGATTGCTTCTCTAGGCTTAGGCAACCTAAAAATATCTCAGCTCTCGTGCTTCCTTCGGATAGCATGACACATATTCACCAAAACCGTGTTACAGCTGAACGAGGTGGTAAATCTGCCGGCCAATCACCTGGTAATTAGCTTAGGTTTCCCACTTTAACAAACAGTTCTGTATCGACATGTTACGGTTTTTCTCATTACTAATACGCAAACATTGCAATTACTACGGTCTGTGTATAAATTTTGGTTTCTGTTACACGATTTGTTGATCGATGTGATCTTCAGTGGCCGTTTCGCGTTTCACAAACATACTTGGAAGTATATTACTCTTTACAGCAAGCAAAGTTTGGTTGAGCTTCACTGCTGCTGTTTTATCTACCGTGAACCGCAGCTGTTTCCGAATGATCTTTCCTTTGGCGATAATTAACTCCGCAGGATACAACTTGTTGGGGACTGTTCTCTGTTTGTTGTACTTATCACAATGAAAATCTCGATGCGGATGATGTACGTCGTCATAGTCCGCAGTCTATGGTTATAACCAGGATATCGTCATCATCATCAATGACAGCAACATCAGTGTTGGCACTGATGCTTCAGTGCCGATGCTTCCGTCACGAAGATACTGGACCTTACCGTGGTGTGGCGGTTTGTGTACCTCGGAGACCCATTGAGCTATACTGGGGGGTGTCCGCGCGACGCTCGCAGAGTCTCTCATACCAGGTTGGTCAGTGGTTAGAGGTCTGACGAACACAGTCTCCTGGCCCTCCAGGTTGGGGGTTAGAACATGTATGGCGACTTGTTCCGTAGAAAAGGTAATGCATTTGCATTTCCCCGCCAAACACCGCTGCCTTGCGGTTAGGCTTTTGAGTCAAAGGCTTTGGTTGAGGACCCTAATCGTCCTCCTGTCTAGGTGTGGGCGCCCTCGCAGTATCCCAGCCCTCGTACAACCATGACCTACACAACTAACAATAACCAGGATAATCACGATTACATACCACAAATATCACAGACTATTACAATGTGATGTAATGAGTACTTTTTTTGTATTCATTACATCAATTGATATATTAACTGATATTGGTACTTACTTGCATGTTGCCTTGTTGACCTGGCTGGGTGCGTACATCATGCGGATTGTATATATAGGCTTCAGTTAGCAGTAACCACGTGCCCAAATTTACAAGTCGCACATTGTCTCGTCCGTGCTATCCATTCCTGGACTATATTTTTTTCGGTCTCACGTGGTGATTTTGTGTAGGTGTCTGTCCTTGTCTCGTCCAATGTGCTTGATTGTGTAGAACGTCGCATTTTCGTGTTGGATGGTTTTCACTGGGCTGTGTCCGACACAGTAAGGTAAGTGTGATTTACGGATCCCAGCATGGATAGGATGAATCAATTGCCTAATGAACCAGCCGTCGTTCGTCTACGTGTGTTTATTTCTGGGTGTTGAGTTTCGTCTTGCTATTTTACAGCACCGATAGGTGTGGTTTTGTCCTCCTCCTCCAAGATATTTGAAACACAGTAACACCTGTCACTGAGAACAACATATTCACTAAGTGGGGGTTTATTTTCACCCTTACCGATGCTATGGTCTATTACTTGACAGTCGAATTACAATCTTTCGCCGTCAACGAGTGGCTTCAACCGTCACAGTCACTACTGTATATATAGCTTGTAGTTGTCCCCTTTTCCTCCCCGGCCACCACCTGCCCTTTTTGTTAAGCTAGTTTTGGCAAGTTAGGATCTCTTCATCACTTTTGTAGCTCAATCGTTTTGGTTCCGGCTTCAAAGTGCATTCTCACCCATTTCGAATCGCACTTGGCGGAGAAAGTGTCGTCTGCTTGTTCAGTGATATGTCAGGATGTTCTGCAGTGTATCGTATCGCTTGCATGATTTTCGTTTGATCGATTATTTGGTTGCATTGGAAGAAGACTAGAATTAAGGGAGTAGACTCAGTTATCTGGCCCCGAAGGTTTGAACAGCAAGGAGAGTGTATGGAACGTTGTTCGACTGCACAGTAGCTTCCCTTCTCCAAGCAGAATCCAAACTCGTAGCTCACGTTAGAAGAAAAATACATCAAAGTTTTTTCGCATTCGAAGACTGGAACAACCAATCCACTGTTCTCCAGATTGGCAATCTGTAAATTACCCTGGCTTGATCTGTGCCACATCTGCAGAGTTGTGAAATAGATAAACAACTTAAAGTTCCTCCGTTCACGTGCGAATTATGGTTGATGCAAATTTGTGGACCACGTACACTGGATAAGCCTAGGAAGATCGAAACTGGTAGAGAACCATCGAAAACATCTTGTAAATCCTCTGTTGTGGCGCATCTAGGAGAAATCTTTCTTTATCTGAATTATTGGCCCAGCTGAATTGTGAGAGGGGGCGAGGTCGCTCATTTGGTTAGAGCGCGAATTTACTTACTGGAAGGTCCGTTGCTCGAACCCGACCTCTTCCCCTGTCTAGGCTTGGGCAACCTGACAGTATCCCAGCCCTCGTGCTTCCTTCGAGTTGGCATGCCACTAGGCACCGAAAGGGCGCAACAGCTCAACGATTATTTTCATAAAGGAAACTACTCACAAGGTTGCTGAAAACTCTCAACGATTATTATATTTTTATTCTGAATTGTGACGTGTCTTCTGCGCAGCACAGTTGACTGAGAGATATCGTGAACGGGAGCCGCAGTTGAGTCTTTTGTCAACAGCACGTCGGTTGCCATATGGGTTTTTGACTCCGCAAAGGCCATTACTTTTAATAATGCTGATTTCTTGCTCTTCGCCCCCAGGGGAAATGTATTCTTCATTGATCTCTTGGCTTGACTAATTTGTTACCTACTTTTTGTTGGGGAGGAAGTGAAAGAGCTGATAGCCTTATGGGGATTTCGTGCGTCGCATATGGTACTCGATCAGTTAGTCTTGACTCACTCTCGCCACTCTAATGCATAGTCCTTCCCATTACTGCGACCACTTCTGGAGCCAGTTAGGCTGCCTCTCTCCTCTAATGGTTTCTTACCATGCTTATGCATTGTGAGAGGCGTCTTTTGCCATACGAATGTAAATGCTCCTTGCTGTCTGTGTTTCCTCCTATCTTAGACAATTAACTCGTTTGTTGGAGCCGTTATCTCGCTGCTTTTATTATTATTATTATTATTATTATTATTATTATTATTATTACTGCTCATTCTTCTTCGCCTTTCTTAGTTTGTGGGGAACACCATAACTCTTGCTTGACAGAATGGGATTTTTACTTAACTCTTCAGGTTGGTTGTATCGCTGACGTTTCGCTTTTTCCAGGGACCAACGCCTCTTGTTCCTTCTTCATTAACAGACGTCATATCTCCCAACGGTCGGCTACTAAAACCGTTCGCGTATCTCACTGCGTCTCTGCTATACGATGACTCACCTGCTCAGTTCATCCGACTTCCCGCGTACCCCACTGAAGTGGTCGTCAATGGGTTGAACCACTACACGGAATACTTGTTTGGCGTCTCTGCTTGCCATGATCCGCATGACGAACTTGGCCATCCTCTTATTAGCGTAATACCTTTGCAAATAGCTTCAATGCTTCTCTACATTTTGTCGCTTTTTCTGCGAATCAAATGTGGTGAGACATCCTGTGTGAAAGATCCACAAGTCTCCAGCCTGGAACTGTATGTTAAGTGGACCAATCGTTCCCGAAGTTATTCTTCTCCGGGATTACCGACCTAGGTACTAAGCTTCTCAGGGCATCTCAACAACCCTCAAGTAAATTCAGTATGCCAACCGGTATATTCGTAACAGGTAACTGTTGTATGGATACAAATTTCTGGGAAGCTTCTGAGTGGCCGGCAGCAAATTGAGTTGACTGATTCTCAGAGAAGCCAAGCATACTTCTCAATGAGAACGCAACTCACTCCGGCTTGTTAAGACCCGCCGGGTAAACGTAGGTGAATTGGATAGCTCACCCTGTAATCCAGTTTTAGACTGTTTTCTTGGGGACCACGCGTTTGCCCACCAGTTTATAAGGTTGGTGAATGTGATCTTCGGTCTAACAGGTCACTCAGATAACCAGTTATCTGCAGATGATTGGCCAGAGAATCTGATGTTTACGAGGCTGCATTTCATACCAAAATTGTGATGAGCAGCTTGCTGTGGTCCGCCTTCGAATGTCCTTTCGGGACTGGTATCCGGGAATGTCTGTTCGTTTTTACCACTTAGGTGGCCCGACCGTGTCAAATCTGTTTTATTTGTCTTCAGTGCAATACGTCGTAGATGAATTTTAGCTGAGCGACACTCAAAGCGTCACCGATTATACTTTTGACACCGATTCTTCGTTTCGGTCCTCTACAACTCCATTAAAATAGGGTTTTGACGTCGAAAAATTCACCATCATGCAGTTCCTCAGGGACGTAAATCATGTTCTTGTGGTTCAGTGATCAAGTAACTGCAGTCCTTACTGTGCATGAATTCGAAAATTCAAGTGAATTTTTTAATGACAGAGTCACAGACTTGTTGTTTTCGTCTGAATTTATACTTTTCGTATGAACTTGGCTTTCAAGTCTTCCTCACCTTGCCTTCCACTGTTTTCTTTATGTTTCAGAAACCAACGAATGAGTCTGTTTCAGTCCCCTGGTGTAGTGCTCCTGCCCTAGTCCTTCAAAGGACCAAAGCAATAGCTGAGAAAGATACTTTAGATACGACATTTATTAACGTGACCGTCAGTGATGCCTCCGTTGACGCAGATCAAAAGACGGTCGACACGCATTATGATTCTCGACCAACTCAAAAGTCGTACTCATCGTCCAGTACGACACATCCTGCACTGGCATCCTTCCACGTTGAGTTTGAATGGCTTAGTCCACCACATCCGAATGGTGTTGTACTTTTCTATTGGCTACGTTACCGCCGAGTTACTGGAACTTTCACCGACCAAGTGAGTGTCCTGGTCCATTTCTTGAAATGGGCATCCATACGGAATGAATTCTTCACAGCCACCTTCCAGGTGTAGTTCTTCTACTCTGTCACTGAAGTCCTGCAATTGATGACATTCTCAATAAACGGTGACCTTCAGTGGATCGAATGCTATAAAATAAGTGACACCTCACTTTCTGTCATCGGTTTCAACGTGGTGGTACATACTCGGGGGTACAATTCAGCAGTATGATTTGCAAAGTCGGTTTGTATCTTTGTGACTGAATGACAGAATGACTCGGCTCGATCTGGACGCCTATGGATGGTGTACCCGCATTTGTATAAGTGGTATACACTGTTGTCTGTCATGTGTTACACCATACGAGCCAGTGAAAACGCGCAACTCTTAAAAGCCTTCAGCATAGTGTTCTGTATTTCAACTGGTATGAATTTAACTGAAATTTCACCGTGGAATACAACAGAACTGTTACGGTTTAGACTAGTCAGTTCAACGTGTTTTCTGTGACCACCCTTCATCCTTCGCTGTTCGCTGCAATATACCACGGCGACCCGCAGCATCTGACGTATGTATGCACGGTCCAGGGTGGTCGAACAGAAGTGAACCGCAGAGTATAACGCAAAACCCATTGGTATCTTGATACCAACGAACTAATTCCAACAAACACCTCTTAGTACACAAACCCGATACATCGCGGTGGAGTAGCGCTACCCTTGTGCACAGCACTTATCGACTTCCGCAAGCTTTCGTTGTCATTGGCTTTGCCCCACCGAAGTGTTTCAGCATTGGGCGGATCACTGTGTGTCAAGTCGTTCGTGTTAATCTTAACGTAATGAAGGACTACTCAGCATGCGCAACAATAATTACGATTATGCCCAGGTAGCGTGTGTTCCATTTACACGTGACCGTGCACGACGTGCCCAGTTTGGCCTTGAATCCCACCTGAGGACTACCATACCTGTGCCAAATGTTGGAGTAAACATGCCCACTTTCTAGGTTCTCAGGTTGGATCATGATCATTCACGAAAATATATGTCACCTTGTAGACTGAATCGATGAATCAATGAACGTAGTCCGGCGATTTCATTTTGCAGTGACTAGTTTTAGTGGAGTGTGCATCACCTCGGCAGGTAAGATAGCGCAATAATGCTTTTAAATCAGCAAAGACCACATGAATGACCAGTTATTATAGAGGAGAATGTTCGCGTTGTGCTAGGATACAAGCCACAAGATGTGGTTGTCACATCGAACCACACGATTTGAATTCCATGGAGTATGTTCGGTACTACGCCACTTCTGCACGGATCAACCTGATAACACTTTAGCCTGTATGACCTCTAGGATTAAGTGTTATAGACAAAACAATGAGCCACCATCATGAACAATTGAATAAGAAGAGAAAACTTGGAATTCACAACATATTTACTTGATGGACCAGGGTCCCCACATCACCCGCTATTTACACCCATGCAAAAATATGTATGCCGGATTATGATAGCCGTGAAATATCAATTCTGCCACCACGGTAGATAAGGCATAATAAAAGGCTAAGTGTCTGAGTGAATTATGAACAGTACATTCTATGGCAACACTTGGATCCAGCCGTCTTCCACCTTCAGCAAAAAGGTCTTCGCTGTGTTGTTTATTAGAAAACAGCAACTGAACAGTGACAGACTATTGGACAGGGAAGCAAAACTCTCATATGCATCTCGCTTACAAAAACCAAATATCCATCTTGTCCTCGAACGCGTTTTCATGAACTTTTTTGGATATCCATTGACTGTTACTAAAATGCAAGCAAATGCTATAAAGCGACTCCATGAATTCCGTATGGGATCTCACCTTTCAAGAGACGGAAGCGGATTTACGATAAAATATACTATGTGTATGCCCCTACAGTAGTATCCACCATTTCACCACGTCGTTTGATCTGTGAAATCATAGGTCGCATCGATGCCGTCGCGGGTGTGGGTCTGTTTGTAAACCTTCGCATACAAATTATTATTATTATTGTTATTAATTGTCACCTGTAATGAAGAATTTTCGTCCTGGTAAACACACTTGAGTTTTCTATACGTCTCTGCAAACCGATCGGGAATTTCCAAGCTGGAAGGCTTACAGTTAGTGGGCAGTTGCCCAAAATCTATAAGTGCGACCTGTGAAAGTCCAAACTCAAAAGCAACTGTGGTTCGAATCAGACACCTGCATCTCGACTGCTCCCGTCTAGGCTTGGGTAACCTGGCAGTACCTCAACCCACGTGCTTACCCCGGGTGGTATGGCAGCTACAGCCGAACGACTATTCATTTTTTCATTCCACAATTTGTTATTGTCTTCAACTACGATGTTTTTTACTTGATGCGTTTGTATTGTAGACAAGCCTGCTTTTCTTAAACATCACATTTGCACTTTTATGACCTTGCAGCTATTATCAGAATGGTCGATGGTTTGCTATCCAGAGCGACAAGGGAATTCATCGTCCCCATTCGGTCCAAATAAGCCGGCAATATTTAGGCAACAGTTCGTACAGTTGCGAAATCTCTGGCCCGGCGTGTACGAGTTTCAGTTCATGACTGTCTCGCTGGGTGGCAATGGATCCTGGACACCAATCAGAACGTTTGAAATCCTCGAATCTTCCAGATGGGCAGCGTTCTTCAAAGGTACCTCCCCGCTCTCCAATTCTTCGGAATTTTTTATGCTGAAATAGATGTGAATCTCTTATGAACACCACATCCTAATGAAGACAAACCAGCTATGTGATACGAAGCCTTTTCCTAGTGTGCAAACCACCATTCACGTTTGCCGGCGTCATTACTTCGCCCTATTTGTAGCTGCCGCTTACGCACTTACCGTTTCTGACAGGATTGCGGGACTCTCGAGCGTCAGTCACGTGTGTACTTTACAGAATTGCATCTTCAGAACAGAATCCGGTTAATCCTGTCACTCGTATCTAATATCTACCAATATCCGGTTTGCTGGAGTCGGATATTATGCCATATTCGTTTGCCGTTTTTGCCGTGCACCTTATGCGTGTGTATCAAACGAGCGTTGTTCTATCTTCATTCATCCCGTTTGACGGATGTCACGGTTGCTGTCGGGTGTTTTCCCTAGTAACGGGACCATGTTTATCAAGTTTTAGGAAAGTAAGTAGTGAACCGTAATCAGCACAAAACCCTGCGAAACAAGGCAGGGTGAATGTTCACTTCGTACGAATATATGTCCCCTCTATATAAAGTTCACTCGTAGACAGAGACCACTTTGTACATTCTCAAGGACAGCTTTTACTAGAAGAATAACTGCATGTACTTATCACGGGATTTCCCCTGTGATTCCTCCAACCCTAATTTTCTCCTTTTTTATGCACCCTTAATTTTTCGAGACTCCTGACTAGTCTATTCATTCTGAGGCTGGGTGGATTGTTTTAGGCTCCCCATTAGTTGACGTACTAAATCTGTAACCATCTGACTTTGTACAAGTTAGTTGTTTATCTGAAAGAGTCCTGTGATAGTGGTTGGCTTGATCAGCCTGTTTGTTTCGAAAGCAATACCTCATGATATCCGAAAAGTACCTGTTGGCAACAAAATACCCTAATACGTCGTGATTATAATTGTTACTGCTTGACCCCTTTAGCAAGGATATGGGGAAAAACCACGTGGTTCCACCTAGGGGTTCGCAAGACACAACTCATTCGGGGGATACAGTAGTATGGGAATAAATGCACAAATTGCATGTATTCAAACATTTGACATACGGTTCAAGACCGTCAATGTGTCGAAATAATACCCAGTGTATAGTACCTCTCCGTTCTCACCGCATCTCACTGGAGCCCAATGTACACGCCCTCAACAGACAGCTTAACCCATTAACACATGCATGTGTGTTGACATTCACAATTCTAGTTTAAATTCTTAATGAAATCATGAGCGAATTGTTACTCATTCCTTATTGGTATCGTTTACGTATCATAGTGGTAGCATAGGACCAAGACTCCTGGAAAGTTCTATTGTTTTTATAGATAACATCTAGTTTGAGCATTGACTTCAATTCAAAGTTGTTTAGCCGAAGAGAATATAGTCATTTTAAGGATGAATGCTGGGATATTCAAGGGGCTCAAACTGTAGATGAATAACATGACTGTGGAAACGCGAGGATCAGTTTAATTGCTCAGGGGGTTAGCATTTTCATTGAACGATCTTCAAGGTAATCCCTTGAAAGGATAACTTCTTTGACAATCAGTTCAAGTGAAGTGACGCTGCAACAGTCGGACTGAGGGAAGCATAGGATAAGGAAACCACGCGCCTTCCCCTCAGAGAATTTCAGCAAACGGTTATAACAACGTATTTGCTAGCTCTGTATTTTAGAAGCGGATACTCTGGCATTCTGTCAGTGAATCGAATCACGGACAGAAGATTTTACGGTATGTTGAGGACTGTGGTTCGTTATTGTCAATTGAAACTCGTTGGCGGAGTCGATCGAATCAGCTGCGTGACACTTTCGGTGTATCATTGGAGTTATCTGTGCTAATTTAGTGGTTATTTAGTTCCTTGTACTCTTAGGCATCTGTGTTGGACATCTGACCAAAATTTCTATTGATTCTATCATCTGTCATTACTAGGTAGCCGTAAGTACGATTGCCTTTACATTCACGACGGTAGTATATTCATCGCTGTCCTATTCCGCGGGATGATCTGGTTCCCAGTTTGTTTCTGCGCTTTTCATCTTATCTTTAGACACACGGCCTCGAAAGCTGGACCAAAACTTTATACAATTTTGAATTCATCTTAGGTAAGATAAGACCCACATGCTTCGTTTCAGGTAGTTTTAATAAACAGTTAATTCTATTTCTAGACACCAAAGCTTCTTCAAGCCACATGAGTTTGTTACCAAATTAGCTAAGTTTTGATGCAGACGGCCAGCACAATAAGTCAGTGTCGGATGTCTGTTGGAAGCTTAGTTAGTGTGGGTCACTAAGTTATACAACCGATCGGCTGGTGTGATCGAACACTAGGATTTACATGGTACAGACGGCTAGGGGACTTCATATTAGCATCGCTGATCAAAGACCCGACAATAGTGGAGTATGTACTGGTCAGAGCATACAAAATTGATCTAGGAAATAGTGGGACTTCAAGGCAATTTTTAACGCCACGGCCGTTGTTCCAGGTGGTGAAAATTGCCAAGCATACCAATGTGAATGGCGTAGAACTGAATAGAATAGAGTAGAATAGAATAAAAAGCGTGGAACTAACGAGACTGAATTTAGCCCGGCGGAGTTGGTACGTGGTGGTGGGCGGTTTTCCACAAAAGAGAATTATCAAACGAATGGACTTAGGTCTGAAACATGTAACGCGATAAAAAAAAATCGACGTGGTCTCACACCAAACCAAACTGTCGTGTCGGTACAGACCAACAAAAACTGAAGGACACCCAAGAAGACTAAGTTATTGAAGTGGCTTGATCGAAGAACAAAACCCGTCCAATATCCCCAATCCATCGCTCGTTGAACCTGGTCACTCGCACTAGCCAGAAAAAGTTCCTAAAAGGAGTGATTTTCAAATGAACTGTTTTGGCATACATACAACAAAAACATGCGCCTCGGAACGGACTCGAACCGCGGATCTCTGGCTTACCGTTTCCCCTAAAACTAAAACAGCTTGATAACTTATTCCCGCGACCGGACAAACCTTTTATGTCAAGACCAAAACAGTGACCAGCAGTGATGTATTGTAGATGTATCCCAAACATTTTCCATTTACACCTTTCGATGCGCTGACTATGTGCAGAATAGGACACGTCCCAAAGCCGCTTCAGCCGAACAGTACGTCTTATGCGGTTTATTTCAGATCTTGGTCATGAAACATGTGCCTGATATACGGTGTTCCTTCAAATAAACTTGTCTTCCTCAGAATGGGGATGGACTGACGTCCTACATTGTCGGCTCCGTGGGTTAGATGATTTCTGTTACGAGCAGTTAAACTGATAACTTCCTCTAAATTGCATCATTAATGTTCACGTGAATGGTTTCTTGAGCAACTAAAGTCGTATTTTCTGGTAAGTGATAGCATATGTACGGAAGGCACTTTCAACCTGAGTGGCCAGCATGCTATTCTTTTGGAAGGCTTTTAATATCTCGTAACGTCAATAAATTTGGGACGGAGTGATTCGATAGTCTTTTAGAAGCATCAGTGTTCAACATTTATGTTACGCTTCCGATGATGATGGCGGTTGAAAGCATACTATTCGGGGGTGGTGGTACAATCTTACGACAATTGATCATCCACTCCATATTACGCTATTTTCCTTCTCAAAGGAAATGCACCTAGCGTGAATCTTCTCAAATCATGTACAGGAGGAATAACGTCTTTCAACAGGTCTTTGTGTATCACCCCTCAGAATGTTTGACTAAACACTGCGTACCATACTTACTGAAGTAACTATGTTTCTTTCAATGTTTTTTTTCTTATCTACGTTTCATTAATACACTGTTGTGCCAAAAACATTGTGACATCATTTGCTCTTCCTCAGGATTTGAGTGTCGTACCTTTCTTTTACCTTCCAGAAGTAACTATGTTCTTTCAATGTTTTTTTTCTTATCTACGTTTCATTAATACACTGTTGTGCCAAAAACATTGTGACATCATTTGCTCTTCCTCAGGATTTGAGTGTCGTACCTTTCACTTACCTTCCAGAGCGCATCTTCCTACCTTTAGCTCTCTGTCTGGTAGTGTTGTTGGTAACGGGATCAGCTGCAGTTTGGGCCACCCATCGTTCATTGCGGTAAGTCTCCCAGCTCGCACTTTCTGCAGTATCATCACTGCTATAGTCATCTTCCAAACGATGCCTGGTGGTAAATACCGCAAGTAGGCAATATCGCTGAGGCTGTCTTGTTGCGGCGCGATGTACAGTAGAGGTTTTCAACAGTATTCCAACTCAGTCTATGGGTAACTTAGAAGGATGAATAATTCACACGAAGAATGACGCTTTCAGTGATATTTATTCCACGGGTGGATGATGAATGGCGCTGTATCCTGTCTAAGTGCCAGATAATCACGCTGCTGATCGAACGGTTCTGTTCAAACTACTAGCTGGGAGGTCACCGTTTCGAGACCTCCTGAAGTTTTATGAAATGCACATAATGCTTATCATTCCTAATAAGGTTATAACGGCTGTACAGCTTTTAAGCAAAGATTGGCTTCCCTGAGGGACAAAATCTCAGTTGACTATTCAAAAGGCTTAAGCATTTTGCCCCTAGTCATATCCCTGGGCTGGCCTTTCCTAATCATTGTTTTAAAGAAGCTCGCTATACATCTTCACGTATAGTGAAACTTTTTGTCTGCATCTTATACTGGACCATAAGAATACTAACTAATATCCTTTCAAATTCAGCATGAAACGGTCGCATGACTTTTGCCCTCAACTGACCCATGCTATGCTCCCGTATGTTGGTGGTTTTGTTATCACAATTATGCTTGTCATATTATCATTACTATTATGTGCAACACATGTAACGTTTCTGTCATTATTGATAATAGTGAATATCAGGAAGAACAACAAACAGCGAATGCTACCGAACAGTGTCTTTTCCCATGGTAATTCCGCTTTCGTAGTACGCTGTCCAATTCTAGGTGGCTGTATCATTTACCCGGATCCTGGAGGCTGAGTCTTTTGCCGCGTGTGGCAGAACTCAGAAGCTTACAATCATTTAGACATCGATGTGATACTTCACTCTATGTTGGTCAATTGCTGAGTTAATAAATCTGATCTATAACGAGCCCAAAATAGATTGCTTCTGAGAATCGATTTGTTTCGAGAGGCTATCATCTCGATTGGTCACAGCAATCTGTGTAGTGTATACCATTGATATCTCGCTTTCACCATGTGTTTTCCTTCTAGAAGACGACTTACGCGAAACACCAGCATGCGTTCCGAATTCCACGAACCTCTCCTATCTGGTTTGCCACATGAGTGGGAATTAACCTCTAAGGACGTCTACTGGGACGCTGCACATGCTTTGGGTGAGGGTTCCTTTGGGACCGTATATTCTGGCATCCTTCAAACCTTCACTACCCCGGGTGCGAAACAAGTTCTTCAGAAGCTGAGAGTCAGTTCTGGTATGAGACCAGTGAAGAGGTTGGCTGTCGCGATTAAGGTAAGCGTTCTTTCAGCCCAAGGAACTCTCAACTTTTAATGCTTTTCAACCAGCTGGTTCAAATTATACGGACTCTACATTCGTCGCATCTCTTTGATGTGTGTTCTTACAAGCAATCATACTAATTTTTGTAGCAGATTGAGACATATGTACGACCTAATAAACAGCTTACCATAGGGTGGTTGTTTGGATGATGCTGGTTGCATAGCACACTATTTGACTATTTTTCGGTGGTAATGTTCTAGCCACCAGCAATGACATTCAGAGGACGTCAGTGTTTGACCATCGATGTCTTCGGAGCATTGCCCGAATCTGGTGGGAACACCGGATCAGCAATTCTGAAGTACGTCGAATGGTATTCGGGAGAAATAACTCACCCTCGATAGATGAATTGATCACACTGCACAGGTTGCGTTGGCTTGGCCACGTGCTGCGTATGACAGTCGACCGACTTCCTCGAAGGGCTCTTTTCGCCCAACCATGTGAAGGCGGGAAGAGAGCCAGAGGC